CGAGAGAATTGACTTTATTGCACTGGGTTCTATCCCATGTGGTTTGGTCTCTCTCCGCAGAACGGCTAGCCGCCTGCCGAGAGCGCCGCACAGATCACGAACTCTGTAGCTCCGGCGACGATCCACAGGGATCTCCGCGAAAAATTGCGCTCGTGAACCGAAAGGTGCAGCCCTGAAATGAACCCAGGACCTTCAGAACGCGAGGCAAACTGCTTGAGCACTTCCCCAGGGAGACCCATTGAAGATCACCTGAATCAGAGTTGACTGAAGGTACACGAGACAGAAGGTTGTGGATAGAGATGACAACCAACGCCACACAGCATGGACTATGGAAGATCACCTGAATCAGAGTTGAATGAAGGTACACGAGACAGAAGGTTGTGGATAGACATGACAACCAACGCCACACAGCATGGACTATGGAAGATCACCTGTATCAGAGTTGACTAAAAGTACACGAGACAGAAGGTTGTGGATAAGACATGACTACCAACGCCACACAGCTTGGACTATGGAAGATCACCTGTATCAGAGTTGACTGAAAGTACACGAGACAGAAGGTTGTGGATGAGACATGACTACCAACGCCACACAGCATGGACTATGGAAGATCATCTGTATCAGAGTTGACTAAAAGTACACGAGACAGAAGGTTGTGGATAAGACATGACTACCAACGCCACACAGCTTGGACTATGGAAGATCACATGTATCAGAGTTGACTAAAAGTACACGAGACAGAAGGTTGTGGATGAGACATGACTACCAACGCCACACGGCATGGACTATGGAAGATCATCTGTATCAGAGTTGACTGAAAGTACACGAGACATAAGGTTGTGGATAGACGTGACTACCAACGCCACACAGCACGGACTATGGAAGATCACCTGTATCAGAGTTGAGTGAAAGTACACGAGACAGAAGGTTGCGGATAGACATGACAACCAACGTCACACAGCATGGACTATGGAAGATCACCTGTATCAGAGTTGACTAAAAGTACACGAGACAGAAGGTTGTGGATAGACCTGACAACCAACGCCACACAGCATGGACTATGGAAGATTACATGTATCAGAGTTGACTAAAAGTACACGAGACAGAAGGTTGTGGATAAGACATGACTACCAACGCCACACAGCTTGGACTATGAAAGATCATCTGTATCAGAGTTGACTGAAAGTACACGAGACAGAAGGTTGTGGATAAAACATGACTACCAACGCCACACAGCTTGGACTATGGAAGATCACCTGTATCAGAGTTGACTGAAAGTACACGAGACAGAAGGTTGTGGATAGACATGACTACCAACGCCACACAGCACGGACTATGGAAGATCATCTGTATCAGAGTTGACTGAAAGTACACGAGGCAGAAGGTTGTGAATAGAGACATGACTACCAACACCACACAGCACGGTCTTTAAGAAGGAGAAGAAGAGTGGTTATCGTAGACCCCCTAGCACACTGGTTTGCCAATGGGCCCATAATGCTGTTTAGACGGATCATAAAGGGGAGGGAGTGGGCGGGAGGGGGGCGGGGGCGCGCCAAAATCTAAGTGCTTAGGGCATCAAAGGATCTTAATCCGGCCTTGTGTGTTGCAGATCTGAGCTTAGTTGAGTTTCAAGAGTCGACATCACAGCACTCAGGGCATTCCCCATTCTCAGCAGCCAGCGCAGTGTTCCAATACTAATGGTGCCAGTAGGGCTCTGATTATACGTTGATCTTGCCTTTCCTCTGGGCGTCGAGCATCGACCAGATCCCCTTATCACTCCCTTTTGCATTACTCTCACCCGAGATCCACTTGCTCCTCCGAAGTGGATACGTTCTCCCACAAAGCCCTAACCACGTCTGCCTTATCGTGCTGTTGCAGATCTGCTGCAGCTGACCTTTATTGTGAAGACGGCACTAACTACTACTAACACCACCACCACCATCACTACCACCACAACCCTGGCCGACGCTCGACACTCAGGGGAAAGGCGAGACGGTTATATAATCAGACAATTACTGGTACCATCGGGATTTTAATTCTTCGCTTACTGCTGAAGATGGGGACGAAGCGCTTATGGGGGTGTCCTGAGTGGTGTGATATCGATTTTTAATTCAACATTCAACATTCTACTAATGCTACGATGTCGACATGACCGTTAGGTGATATTCGCACTACGCTCGTTAACGCCTGAAGTCAGAGAAGATCAGGGCGAGGGAACAATCTCTTACAAGTTTGGACCTGGTTTGAGACAGCCACGGCCGTTTGCTAAGAGTGAAAGTTGCTAGCCGCACAATGAATGAACAGCGCGATTCGGCCGTTAACAGGTGAGCATTTTCAGAGTACTAATGATTATTATGTTGCGTATACTTTATTTCATTTCACACAAACACATAGATCAGTTTTTCTTAAATATTTCATTAATAAATAATTATAAATTGTAATTAATTTGAATTCGAAATGTTATAATTATATTATTGGAATCTCTTTGACCACAATACTATTATCATATATAATAATTAGTGTGTTTATCTGATTATAATTTCAGACAACGATTTTTTATGGTGGATACACTTGTCTTAATGGGTTTTCACACCTTCTTGATAGAAGTGTGTAGTGTAGATTTCATCACTTTTATATTTCTTAATCTGTTGTTTCATTAGTTTCGCTATATTTTCTAAATTTCACTTTTTAACAGTGTAATATTCCAGTGTTTATCATCTTCACTTTCTGAACAAGACTTTTTCTACTGCTAAAGGTTTCAAGTACAGAGAGTCAACTTAATTCAACAGTTTTATTCCATAAAACCTGTTCTATCAATATCCACAGAACAGAGAACAGGTAGCCCCCTGCCGAGAATGTCATACAAAGCACAAATCTCTTAGTTCCAGTAACAATCGGAGACATATTTTTACTTGTGAAACAAATGATGCAGTCAGTAAAATGAAACTGCAACCTCCAGAGAGCAGGGCAAAAGGTACAGGAACCTGGGAGCTAGCCACCTTTTGAGCACCAGCAATTTTTTCAAGGCTAAACCACCCCCCCCCCCCCTTTTCCACCCCAGCCACCCTTAACTTAAAGAAAAATAACTTTTAGGAAGATGAGGGCCCCACCATATATAAACATTCTTTTTTTTATCATTTATTTCTACATAAAATATTTCAAATATATGCCATTTAGCGCATAATAATGTTTATTATTGCACACTTAAACAAGACCTAATCCCGGTGTGGGGCTCCACATTTTCTAATGGTTTGGCGTTCCTTCAAAATGCATAAACCTTGTTTAATTTTCCGTGTTAATGACAATTTTTATTATTATTATTGTGATTATTGTGCAGTTAAACAAGACTTGAGCCCATCTCCTCGCATTGACAATTTTTGGCAGTGCTGAACCCCCACCCCTGCCTTTCCATGTTTTCTCTGTGGCAGCGTGACTACTCTTCCCTACTCTTCTAGCATACTAGTACTGTGCTGTACCACCACACTTCAATAGGGGAATCTTACAGTACTGTGCAGTACTACCACACTTCAATAGGGAAATCTTACAGTACTGTGCAGTACTACCACACTTCAATAGGGGAATCTTACAGTACTGTGCTGTACTACCACACTTCAATAGGGAAATCTTACAGTACTGTGCAGTACTACCACACTTCAATAGGGGAATCTTACAGTACTGTGCTGTACTACCACACTTCAATAGGGAAATCTTACAGTACTGTGCAGTACTACCACACTTCTATAGGGGAATCTTTCAGTACTGTGCAGTACTACCACATTTCTATAGGGAAATCTTACAGTACTGTGCTGTACTACAACACTTCAATAGGGGAATCTTACAGTACTGTGCTGTACTGCCACACTTCAATAGGGGAATCTTTCAGTACTGTGCAGTACTACCACACTTCTATAGGGGAATCTTACAGTACTGTGCAGTACTACCTCATTTCTATAGGGAAATCTTACAGTACTGTGCTGTACTACCACACTTCAATAGGGGGATCTTACAGTACTGTGCTGTACTATCACACTTCAATAGGGGAATCTTACAGTACTGTGCTGTACTACTACATTTCTATAGGTAAATCTTACAGTACTGTGCAGTACTACCACATTTCTATATGGAAATCTTACAGTACTGTGCAGTACTACCACATTTCTATAGGGAAATCTTACAGTACTGTGCAGTACTACCACACTTCTTTAGGGGAATCTTTCAGTACTGTGCAGTACTACCACATTTCTATAGGGAAATCTTACAGTACTGTGCAGTACTACCACATTTCTATAGGGAGATCTAACAGTACTGTGCAGTAATACCACATTTCTATAGGGAAATCTTACAGTACTGTGCAGTACTACCACCCTTCTATAGGGGAATCTTACAGTACTGTGCAGTACTACCACACTTATATAGTGGAATCCTACAGTACTGTGCAGTACTACCACATTTCTATAGGGAAATCTTACAGTACTGTGCAGTACTACCACACTTCTATAGGGGAATCTTACAGTACTGTGTAGTACTACCACATTTCTATAGGGAAATCTTACAGTACTGTGCAGTACTAAAACACTTCTATAGGGGAATCTTACAGTACTGTGCAGTACTACCACACTTCTATAGGGGAATCTTACAGTACTGTGCAGTACTACCACATTTCTATAGGGAAATCTTACAGTACTGTGCAGTAATACCACATTTCTATAGGGAAATCTTACAGTACTGTGCAGTACTACCACACTTCTATAGGGGAATCTTACAGTACTGTGCTGTACTACCACACTTCTATAGGGGAATCTTTCAGTACTGTGCAGTACTACCACATTTCTATAGGGAAATCTTACAGTATTGTGCAGTACTACCACATTTCTATAGGGAAATCTTACAGTACTGTGCAGTACTACCACATTTCTATAGGGAAATCTTACAGTACTGTGCAGTACTACCACACTTCAATAGGGGAATCTTACAGTACTGTGCAGTACTACCACACTTCTATGGGGGAATCTTACAGTACTGTGCAGTACTACCACACCTCTATGGGGGAATCTTACAAAGTCACTGTATTTCTTATCTTTCTTTTGTCGCCTTACTGATACCAGTTTGAAGCCCAGTGTCTTGTGGTTTTCTGTATTTGTGTTGCGCTTCTTAAGTGGCTTGGGTGATGGATTTGTTCATCTGTTTGCAGGATTCACCTACACCATTTATCCATTGTATGCATGTTGGTGGATGTATGTATGCATATTTAGCTGTGTAAGTAAGTGGGTGAATGTGTGTGTTTTTAGTTATGTATGTATGTATGTGTGTAAAGATGTGAGTGTATAAATGTATGTATGTATGCATGTATGTGGGTGTATGTATTCATGTGAGTGTAAATGTGTGGTTGTGGGCAAATGTTGGTGTCTGTACATGTGATTGTATATGTGTGTATGCATGGATGCATGTATAGGTGTGTATGTATGTGTGTGTGCATGTATATCCATAACTGTATTGTGTGTGTTTTCTGTTTGTGCATTTATGTCTATGTATGTGCATGTGTTTTATGTTTGTGTATGTATGTAGATGTGTGTGTGTATGTATTATGAGTGTGCATGTATGAGAAAGTAGGAATATGTATATGTGTGTGTGAGTGTGTGCAATTGTGTACACATGATGTGTGTATGCATTATTCTATAATTTATATTTCTTTTTTAATATCCATAACAAGCATTATTGATAGCAGGCACTGGTACTCTGAAAAATGAGTGCTTTAAAGGGCTGAATGTCAGACGGGCCTGCGTGCCCAATTTGTAACCCTTTGAAAATAAAGTTTTTTCGTTCGTTCATTCGTTCGTTCTCTTTCTTGGTCTTTCATCTTCTTCCCAGATGTTCTGCTATTAAAAAGTCTCATATTCTGTTCGGTCTGGCTGCATTCTGACTAGATGGCCAAACCATTTCATTCTTTGTCTGTCAATATAATCGAGACATGGTCTTATTTCAGCTAATGCTGGTATTTGTAGCCCTGTCCCTTTATGGTTCTTAGTGACCTTGTGGAGACAGAGCATTTCACATGTAGTTATTTTCTGTTCTAGTGCCCTATTCATTGTCTCTGTTTAGCACTGACAGAATAAAGTAGGGACGAAGATGCTATTAATCATTTGCTGTTTTGCAGGAAGGGATACATTTGGAGGCCTTGAGCAGTGCAGCTTATTGGTAGATGACAGCATTTGCCTTCTGTACTCTGGCTCTCTGTTGTCTACCATCCTCCATAAATATGCTTCCCAGATGTTTGAATTCTCATACTTGTTTGTAGTATGAGTAGTACTGTTAACATGAACATTTATATTTTTATGTTTCCTGCCTATTCTCATTAACTCAGATTATGCGGTGTTTATACTAATATCATACTTTGTGCAAGTTTGATGTAAGGGGTCTATATCATGTTGTAAATTCTGTTTTTGAGGGTGTATTAGACACTGATTGTCTGCAAAACGAAGTTAATTGAATTCTTCAATGTCTATATTTGCCTCTTGTGTAATTCTATCCATTTAGTTAGTTAGTTAGTTAGTTGGGTTATCCTCATTGCACTCCGGACATGTCCATAGGTGCTCAGATCCTCCTCTCAGTATGAACCCCAACGTCCGATGGCTAATAGTACCAGTTCTATGTTGATTAACAAGTCTTCTGGCGTGTCTGGTGTGCGTCTCGTTTTTTGCTGTGCCGATCTTAATTCCCAAGTCTGCCATTCTGGCGAGTGATGTGGATTCACTGCCACCAAAGTCCTCTATCCTTCCCATTTCTCGGAGGGCATTGATAATATCAGCATGATCCATAGGCTGACCGTCGGTAGTGATAGCGGATCCAGCCAACCTGTCAGCTCTTTCATTTCCATCGACGCCTGCGTATCCCGGAACAAAAATAAAGGTGACTCCACGCACAGTGGACTTCTGTAATGATTCAAGCCATTGTCTTCGCACTGAACCTGCTTGAACCCTCCGGATGTAATTCTATCCATGTAAGTAATGAATTGCAATGGAGAGAGGACACATCTTTCGCTAACACCTGATGAGATAGGAAACCCATCTGTCATTCCTTCTGTTATTTTTACTGCGCACCGACTATCTTGATAAAGAGCCATAATGTTATCCAATAGTTAATCTTGAATACCATAATCTTCTAGAATTTTCTAAAGTTTGTATCAATTGACTCAGTCGAATACCTTCTCTCGATCTATAAATATAACATGCTTTTATCAAATTCAGTAGGTTAGTTATGTATCCTTTACAGGACATTGCAGAACCAACCCCAACAGCCCCTGGCTGTTGTGTACTTTTTCTAGGCAAATTTATACATAATAGTTTGCCATTGCTTTCTGGACGGTCGGCTTTCTTGATACCATTGTTGAAACCAACGCAAGGCGCATGGCCCGCAGCTAGGATAGAACCCGGCATCCTGGCATTACAAAGCGTTCGCATCTACTTAGCCACAGAGCCGGCATATTCAGTAGACTGCTCGCATATCTGCCTTAAAGAAAATATTGCACCTGTACAGATCTTTCCCTTCATGAAAAATGCAATGTTTCTTGTGTAGTAGCAGTCAATTACACCAGTGCCAGCTTGTTAGGCCTGTCGCAGTAAAAAATCTGACCTAGTTGGTGCCCATCTCCTTCCAATCCATTGCCCTGTTAGCCAAAAACATCCCAGCTTCGCTTTCCTGGCGGGCACCACAAGGAGAAGGGGGGGGGGGAGGGACCTGCTGTGCACAGACTAAATATGAATGGCATTCTAACATTTTTTTTATTAGGCTTTGGAGACTTTGTTTGGTCTCCTACTACTTCTCTCGCCTCTGGAGGCGCTGTGTGGTCTCAAGGCATGGTGTCAGCCTCGAGTGCTAGAAGTTCCAGGTTCAATCCCTGGTAAGGGCTGGGATTTTTTCACATGGACTTGGACTTCTAGTAATTTCCCCTGGTCTCTTAATAGTGAGATGGGACGCCCATGTGCATTGTTGTGCACGTAAAAAATCTCTAGGCAGTTGGAAATCGAAAAGAGTATCCTAATGGCGCTGCCGGGGCAAAAATTGGAGTTAAAAATCTACCTAAAGTATTTCACGATCCTCGCTGGTGCTACAAAACCTGTGCACTGTACTGAGCTTTTTCGGATTAAGACTTGAGTTAGAAGAAGAATGGAGACTTATTGGTTACTTCCCGTGTGTCATGATGTTGATCCATTGTTCGAAAACCAATCAATCAGTCCTCTAACTTTATTGTTGTCACAATAGACTTCAGTTTTTGCAGAAAGATCCAAATTCTAATATTGTCTCTGCCATTTGTTTTTAAATTTCATGAAGGGAAAAGCAAGTAAAGCTTGCACAGGGACATGTAGCGGCAGTGGAGAAGTACTACGGTCTCTTCTGTGAAACACTTGGATCCGTCATCCGGAAATCAGCAAGACTGCGGAATAAAAGTATTAATGTGCCATTGTTTTGTTTTTTTAAACGTCTTATAAAGTTGTTAAATTCCACATGTTATAAAACTGTTAAAGTATACATCTCTCCTTGATTTATGAATTATCCTGTGATCTGTACTTATAAACACACAAAAATAAATAAATACAAATAGTAAAGAAAGACAGATAACTACATTGGCAGGAACAGATTTTTCTTAAAACGAATACAATAAAGTATATATTATGTATTTTTCACATTATATACAATAATTGTACATACGTAAATTGAATTATTGTGGTTTATAACAAAATTTGTATAACTCATTTGAATTAAAATAGTGTTCAATATGTAAAACTTGATTAACGGCCAGTTTGACTTATGACCTGTTAGCCGCAACAGAACTTGTTTGTAAATCCAGGAGGCTCTGTATATGCGTCATTGTTTAGCCGTATTTATATAAAATGTAATAGAAAGGTGACAAGGAGTCATTAGAAGACTAGGCTTTAAGTGGGAGTCCTGAATCCTTGTTAATGCAGTGCGTAAAGTCCTCCGAAAAAAACACCAAAACATGCACATTTCATGGCAATGCCCTTGTCATGTGACCCTAAAAAAGGATAAGTACAAGCAAAGTTTTGTTTGTTTGTCTACTTTTAGTCTTTGTCTTGTTCCAGAACTTGAGTTTTGTGTGTACATCCATTTTACAGATCTAGCTTATTTGTATGCAGACTGTTGGTTCCTAACCTCTCAGGCAGATGCACTTAAAGAAAAAAGACCCCTAATGAGTCACCTTTATGAGAAACTTGTTAGGGAAACAGTGGTCTGTGCCCCCCTCCCCAAATAAGCCTGTGACAATCGAAAACATGCAAGGAATAGATAACGCTAGAGAAATCCAGGGAATTATTTAATAGGGCATCACAAGAGCAAAGGTTAGCATATGAAGTATTAATATATCTGAAGACAGACAAAAGTATATCATAGATCACTTTAAATATTGCTAATGCCCGGCTCTAGCGTAGTTGGCTAAACCAGATTGCGCAGAGACTGGGTGACGAACTCCTTGTGGTCCGGGTTCAATCCTGGGGGTAGGCAGGAAAGCCACGTTTCTCCCAGATTTATGGTATTTACAATGGAATCAAGGCCAAAAGGTTGGTCTTCCCAATGCTCTGTGTTCATTATATTTCTTCAGCCTGGCTCTCTGTGGCAGTTGGTACCAGGGCATTCTCTTCAGATGGCCAAACCATTCATTTGTTGCTCTTTAATGAATTGTATTTAATGATTGATTTCAGTCCTAGTCTTTTTCTTATTTCTTCATTCCTGATTTTATCTCTTCTTGTCACAGTGAAAGATACAAATACAAAATTAAAATTCCAAACAGAGTTTGTGTAAATGAGTTTAAAAAAAATAGTTAGATGTAAACAGAAGTATTTTTGTTTTAACAGTTATTTGCATGGTTTTTACTTTTTCTTGAGTGTCCTTAAAGCTGGCTGTTCTCACCACAAAGTGTTTATTACATCAGTAACAGTTAAAAAAGGTGCTTCTATTGTTGCATGCCACCAGATAAAAAGTTCTGGTTATATGAAATTCACAATTATAAATAAACTGAAAACATGAATTCCAACTATCATGGTTGAAAAAAAAAATGCAAAACAGGAAGAAGGCAGTGAAAACAAAAAAGGCAGGGTATAATCAAGGTGTCGGCTCTGTGGCTAAGTCTACACGAACACTTCGTTTCGTAATGCCGGGATGCCAGGTTCGATCCCAGCTGCGGGCAATGCGCCTTGCGTTGGTTTCGACAGTGGTATCAAGAAAGCTGACCGTCCAGAAAGCAATGGCAAAGTACACGGGTTAAATTGCCTAGAGAAACCACACAACAGCCAGGATCTGTTAGGGTTGGTTCTGCAACGTCCTGTAAAGGATACGCAACTAACTATAATCAAGGTGATTTTTTAAAATATTTTTATTTATTTATTTTATACACATATACAGAAGTATGGAGAAGGGACAGATGAAATAATGTTAAGCATTAATTCTTCTTATATACAGAATGAGGTTTGTGAATTAGTCATTTTTGTGTGGTTCAAAATAAGAGGAGGGGTGTGGTCACCAGAACAAGATTTTAAGGTAGTTCTTTCTGTACAAAGCAACTCACTATGTATTGATTGGTAATTCCTTACAATATCGTTTTTATAATTTTTTTTGTCTAATCTTGTTTTTATTTTCATCTACTCAGTTCCAATTGCTAATTCACTTCATCTTTGCAAGTGGGATATTTTTCAAACTCCATTAGACACGTTATTTACTAGCTAAAAGCAAAAACTGATTCATATAGAACAGTTAAAGTGAAAAATGTCTGTGACTAGAATAATTAACTTGTAGTTTTCCAGCTTGTCTAATATTTAGAGAATTCAGTAAACAAAAGTTGTTCTCTCTCTTTTTTTGGTTTGTTTCTGATTGCCAGGTGATATATTTGTTCACCAACTGAAAGCTTATGCCGAAACTGAGAAACTAAGTACCACAACTAAATCCAGTCTGCTCACTTTTGTTGAAAATCTGTCAACAGTTCAGGATTACAGGAATGCTGAAGTATGTGGATACAGCTAACCATCATCTTCATCATTTGGTTGTACATTTATGTGGCATAGGTCTCACAGTCTGTTCTCCATTCCGTATGTAGATAAAGATACCTTATAATAATTTACTAAACTATACAGACAGAGTCAAGAAATGTCCATTGTGTCATCAGCTATTGTTCATGTGAAATCAGCTGTTGTCCATGTGTTATTAGCTCTTGTCCATGTGAAATCAGCTGTTGTCCATGTCAAATCAGTTGTTGTCTATGTGTTATAATTAGGGCTGTACCAAATATTCGCTTCTTATTCGCTTCGGGGCCGAATAGTGGACCTATTGACTATTCAGTATTCAGCCGAATTGTTGCGGTCGGGCCAAATACAAATAGTAGTTACCTTACACCCGCTTCTGCATACACGCCCTTAATGCTGACAACATGAAACGATTGATTTTGTTGAAAGCTAATGCAGCTTTCCTGCATTAACTAAGCTGTCAGTAAGTTAGTTAGTTAGTTAGTCGACAGATTATCCTCATTGCACGTCGAACCACTCAGTCCATAAGTGCTCGGATCCCCTCCTCAATAAATCCCGCAGCGCGTAGCGGCTAACGACACCAGCTCTGTGTTAGTTTATTATTCTTTTTTGGCTACCCGAGTAGTGTTCTTGTTTGGCGACACCCCTTTTAACATGTTGTTCTTGCAGTCTGACCATGGTTGCAGATTCACAGTTCTCAGTTGGTTCACGCAAACGGCCTAACTCTCTTAGTCAGCAGTGAATTCTGTAGAGCCACCAACCACTGCCTTCCGACCCTACTCTTCTCTATCTTCCTGAGCATACTCATTGAGTCACTGAGAAAACATTTCAAGTAAAAGTCTGTGTCTCTAGCCATGTTACTGCTTTAGTCACAGCCATGACCTCCATAGTCAGAATACTTGTAGTTATGGCAAAAGCTCCAGAATCTTCCTTCACAACTCTCCCTCCAAACTGAGCCGTGAAAGCCGTATGTGTAAATGACAGCATCACCCTCTAGAGCGTTCTCGAAAATCAAGGCTTGAACTTTTGCTTCCACAGCAGCCGGACTCTATTGTCTGCATTTTCTGTCTAGTTGGATGCACACAGAAAAAGGTGTACAGCACTCTGAAGGCACTTGCACCCACTCCTCGCCAGGTTTTATGTCCTCAAGTGAACATACCTGTAAAATAATGTCCTCTGCTTGACCCATCCACGATTTGCCTCTTTTTAACCTGCTGCCTTTGACAATTTCCAGTGACAATTTCCAAGTTTAGTTACTTGTTATAATACTTATAATTCTTTCATTCCTATTATTAGTTAACACAGACTGACTGAAGGATGCAAAACATGAAATTTTTTTAAATGTTTACTATTCTGTATAAATACTAACTAGACATGGAAAGAATATAAACTCCTGCTACATCCAAGTCAATCATATGAAAATCAAACGAACGGAAACATATAAGTAATTGGGTGCAAACTTCAACTGCTCCGACAAGTTGAGAGAAGAAATACAATCTAGAATACAATCTAGAAATAAAGTATACTATGCCCCTTTAACATCTGCTAAAGTCAAAGTGTCTGTCTCGCAACACCAAGATCAGAATATTTAAAACATTGATAAGACCAGTCGTTTTAAATGGCTCTGAAACTTGAAGCAGAAATAAAAGAGATGAAGCCTTATTACAAGTTTTCAAAAACAGTCTTATGACAAAATCTTTGGACCCATCAAAGATGCTAACAGCGGGGAATGGAGAGTGAGAAGCAACAACGTAACACATAATCTGTTTAAGTCACCTTGATCACTGGCATCATGAGAGCTAACCGACTAAAATGGTTGGGACATTTTGAAAGAATGTCAGATGACAGAGAAGTAAAACTGTATACACCTGAGAGAGGAATGGGCGTAGACCACAAGGCAGACAAAAAATAAGTTTGAGAGATAATGTCCAGCCAGACCTGCAAACAACTGGTGTCATAAATTGTAAAGATAAGGCCAGCCAGAGAGATTAATGGAGACGATATCTACAGCAGTACACCTCAAGAGCTCGGAATGCTGAAGAACAAGATGACTATTCTGTGCTACTTTCTGTAAAGTAAAAGTTCAGCGTACATTTGACATTATGAATTTTTTTTAGGTATATTTTATACACTATACACTATTTTTATTCGTATTCGGCAGAATAGTTGGTCCCGCTATTCGTATTCGGCCAAATAGTGAAAATCACTATTTGGTACAGCCCTAGTTATAAAAATTGCCCGTATGTTATCATCTGTTGTCCATGTGTGATCAGCTGTTGTCTGGTTATAATCAGCTGTTGTTAATTTATGATCAGCTGTTGTCCATTCCTACAGCATAAGACAATCCCAATCAGCACAAAGAGACATCTTATTCAAAGCATATTTATTCCAACTCTGTGCTACCAGTGCCAGACATGGTCACTCACAACAAACCATAAAAGAAAATTAATAACCACGGAAATGAGATGTCTGAGAAGGGCTGTAGGAGTGACCATAAGAGATAAGATCAGGAATGAGATCATAAGAGAACAAGTAGGCACAGAACCAATTCTGGATTACATACAAAGACAGCAAGTGAAATGGTTTGCCCACTAAGAGAGAATGCCTTGTGACACCATACCATACAAAGCATACATGGAAAGAGAAGAAGGACGTAGAGCATGGGGTAAACCAAGAACAAGATGGAAGGATAACATCAGAGAAACTCTACAACAGCATGATGTGCCTATGGTCGAGGCAGCCAGAAGAGCTAGAAACAGAACCTTATATCTCCCTCGACACCCACAGCGGTAAAAGAGGAAGTGAAGAAGAAGAAGTTGTCCATTAGGATCAGCCATTACCCATTCGAGATAAATAATTATCCATGTGTAATCAGCAATTGTCCATTTATGATCAACTCTTGTCCATTTATGATCAGCTGCTGTCCATTAGGATCAGCTATTACCCATTCGAGATCAATAATTATCGATGTGTAATCAGCAATTGTCCATTTATGATCAACTCTTGTCCATTTATGATCAGCTGCTGTCCATTTATGATTATCCATTGTCCAGATGAGATCAGCAGTTATCCATATGAGATCAATTATTGCCGATGAGTAATCAGCATTTGTCCATTTATGATCAGCTATTATGCAATCCCCATGAGTTATTGTACGTGTAAGATCAGCTATTATCTATATGAGATTATTTATTGTTCATACATATGATTATCTATTACAGCTGTGATTATCTTTGTGTGATAAGTAATGTTGATGTATGATTAGCTATTGTCATTGTAGAATGATCTATTATCTTTGAAGGATTAGTTGTTCTTCATATGTGATTGTCTCCTGATTAACACATTATTTATTATTGTCAAAGAGAAACTGATCCAAATAAAATAAAACCTGGTGTAATGGACCCTGCATTTTATGCTTTAAACCTTTCATCTAACATCAGTTTTGAAGAATCATATAAAGCCTGACATGGGACTTTGAATAACGAAAAGTTTTTTTTAAGGTGCACAGGCTAGAAGCAAAAGTGCTGAAACCGCTGACAAAATATGGAGAGCTGTGTAAAACTATGAAGGTAATTTTTGTGGAATGAAGAGTTAAAGGTCATGGTAGGTGACATGTCATCATCATCAGCAGGTAGCAGGTCCTTTGCAAAATATCACTCTCATCAAGGTCTACCTGAAAGAAACTCAGTCTCTCGCCAGTTCTCCCGCCTCATGTACTTTCACACTCAAGGAGTCACTTTTATCCTGTGCTCATCTTTGTGTCGGTCGGCCCCTGCCCCTCCTTCCTGGTATAATGCCTTCTGCTATAATTTTTTTTCCAGTCCGTCGTGGCGCTTAATATGACAAAAATATTTCAGCTTCTGTGACATGTACATCTGAAAAAAAAAAAGAACCTTCTTCAGCTAGTAGCATTTAGAGCAGTGTTCTTCAACCCATAGGCCATGGCCAACTGGTGTGCTGTAGAAAAGTTCATGTAGGCCGCCAAACAATTATGCTTAATTATGTAACGAGCTAGGGCAGGTGGTTTTTCTCTTCCTTTCTGAAGGGTTAACATGAAAAGACTTTCTCAGGTGTGTCAATAATAAAAACCAAATGGAGAAATCAATTGGATGTTATTGCAGCACTTTACATATCAGGAACAACACTCCAGTCACATATATCAGATTGTTAAACCACTAAGCAGCAGATGTCACATAGCTCAAAACTAATTTTGTGACATTAGATTTAACAAATAAACCGCTATATACAATGTTATTTTTCTGTGTTTGGTTAGCTGTCAGATGGGCTGCAAAACAATTTCTACTGTTTTGGTGGGCCATGGGTGTAAAAGTGTTGAGGAACACTGATTTAGAGCATATGATGCTAGCGCCGTCAGTTTATAGACCAATCTCAGGATTTAGTGAGTGATGTGGTCACAATTATACTGCCCAAATGTAATTTCTATGATATTTACTGGTACCAATTCTAAGTTAAGTCAGCCTGGGAGAGAAAGCCAGTTATAAGAAAATCTACCTTGATGATTTGAAATTGACACCTTGGGGTGGTGGGCAGATGTCTGCCAGGGTATCACTGAAGCACCCGCGAGGTGTGAGGTCAAGTTATTTCCAGAGGATATGTGAAATTTGTCCAAATTTTGTAATCAAGGGGCACTGTGCCTCAGTGAAGAAGGTAACAGATATTTTGTGACTAGGGTTAGAACGTCACAGACACTGGGTAATTGAAATAATTCATCATTCCCATCCCCTTCTTTTTCTTCTTCTTCTTCTTCTTCTTCTTCTTCTTCTTCTTCTTCTTCTTCTTCTTATTCTTCTTCTACTTCTTTGCCTCCTCCTCCTACTTCTCTACTCCTCCTCTTCTTGCCCCTCTTGGCTGATAAATTGGCTGCTGCCACTAGACTGGGCAGTGAGCTCTTATATGACAGAGCAGATGTAGTGAAGGCTCTAGGGGATCAAATGGACAGTGCAAAAGAACAGATAGGTAATCCATACACTGAAAGACGGATTCATCTCGGAGTGAGTAGGTTCTGGGAGATATTCACCATTGAAAGGCAAACAGAGGCAGGCTTTTGTAGCATGTCAGCTCTTCGTTGGTTACTGAAGAAGGGAACAGAGCACTTGTGGGAATGTCCCAAGCGCAGTGATGTCAGTTCTTCATTCATTCCCCCTCTTCATCCTCAGCATCTTCTGTTTTCTTCTTCTTCTTCGTCATCTTCTTCTTCTTCTTCTTCTTCTTCTTCTTCTTCTTCTTCTTCTTCTTCTTCTTCTTCTTCTTCTTCTTCCTTTTCTTAAAATCAATAAATGTTTGCTAAAGTGCTTGCCACAGAAAACCACTGAAAATGTTAACTCTACCTGTCCCATACAGGTCACTATATTGGGTCAGCTATTAAAAGGTTCAAGAGGGTCGACTTTATCGTACCCGGTTTTATCCCACTAGCTGACTGCCAAGAGTGTCACACAAAGCATGAATCCTATAGCTCTTAACAATTATCTCCATGGGTTTTTGTAAAAATTGTACTGATGAACCAAACAACACAGCCGTAAAATCAAGCAACAATCTTGAGAGTGTGAGGCAAAGGGCTTGCCCACTTTGCCACAGAGACTCTCAAAGCTACCGTCCATCTGTATTAAACACATGCTTTATGACTCATAACAAGAATCATATTTTTTTCTCTCTTAGAGTAGCATCAAAAACAGCCAGATTGCTTGGACAAGAGAGAGGAAGCAGTCAGAAAAATTACAAAAACTGCAGCAGAAAGTGCCACAACCAACACCTCAAATTGTATCCTTAGTCTGGTTCATCTTCTTTTTCTTCACGTTCACCAGCTGTAAACTTTGACAGAAGGTTCTAGTTCAGCGGTTCTCAACGTATCGGTTGTGACCATTTTTTGGGTCGAATGACCCTTTCACAGGGGTGGCCAAAGACCATCGCAAAACACATATTCGATAATCCTGAATATATGAATTAGCGACAAAAATAATTGTATGGTTGGGGGGTAAACACAACATGAGGAACTGTATTAAAGGGTCGCAGCATTAGTAAGGTTGAGAACCAGTGTTCTAGTTGTTTGTCCACTTCTAGACTTCAGTCTTATTCCAGAACAATGGTCAATACTTTGAAGTAACAGGGAAGGTCAGACCTTCAGGTAACACCCCAGAGGGAATAAAACAGACAGACTGTTTAATTAAATATTTGCTAATATGGCTTTTTGTTATCTACATCTACAAATAAATGACTAGTTGTAGGTTGAGGATAGATTGTTGTCTGTTCATATTTAGAGGCAGTGTTTGATAATTAGTCTATAAGATAATAATGTTTATGGAGACCAATAAATAAACTGAAAAAAAAAAAATAATGAAAGCATAAGTTGAAGGGACGCTGGTTCAAAACCTCAGTAAAGTCATGGATTTTTTCTGTTGGAGGCAAAAATAAAATCCCAACTTGTACCATGCGGCCCAAATCCTCAAGCTAAAAAGACCCCTCCTCTTCACCTACCTCCCAGAAGTAGTAAATACAAGCAGTAATTGGCTATTGTGGCAGGAAAACATAATTTTTCTTGAATAGATGTGAAACTTATCATAGAAGCAAATATCTGACATCTTGAAAGATCTGAACATCAAGGAAGATTGGCTAATAAACAGCATCCTGTCTTTGGAAGCTGAAATATTTTGGTCATATCAAGCGCCACGATGGATTGGAAGAAATAATAGCAGAAGGCATGGTACCAGGAAGGAGGGGCAGGGGCCGACCACCACGAAGATGGGCACAGGATATAAGTGACTCCTTGAGTATGAAAGTATATGAGGTTGGAGAGCTGGCGAGGGACCAAGATGAGAGCAACGTTCTGCAAAGGACTTGCTACATGATGATGATGATGATGAGATGTGTCACATAGACTTCCAAACAGCTTAGCAATCTAAAAGATTGTTTAGTCAAAATGACCAGCATTTGAACATTTTCTCAACAATATAAGACCTAAAAACTAACTGTGATTTAGGCTGTCTAATGTAGATATGTGGTTATCTATTATTATTACATTTAGATAGATAATAGTTGAATGAGAAAGACTTTGATTCTGTTGTTCACATATGCATACCACATGTTTCCTTAACAGTTTTCTAGGTTAAGGTATTTGCTGTTCATTTACCTGGATACAGTCCATATCTATGGCTTAGGCACTGTGAATACACTTTGTAAATGCCGGGGTTCCAGGTTCGATCCCAGCTATGGACAATTTGCCTTGCGGTGGTTTTGACAGTGGTACCAAAAGCTGACCATTCTGGAAGCAATCACAGACTACTGAATGTAAAATCACCTACAAGTATCACACAAAAGCCAATAAGTGCTGGTACTGGCTTGTAAAGTAAAAGTAAAAGACCCTTTTCTACGCCTTAAGGTGTATAGGGCATATAGGGCTAGACCTATATTTTAAAGACCAATCGGCACAAGATGTGTGATGTGGTCAGCATTATGCTGGCCGCCTTTTCTTCCTGGGACTGGTCCCGATACCCACTCAAGGCTGGGTCGACCTGGGAGCCAAGGTCATTTTAAAAAAAAGTCAGGCTTCCCCATGGAGCTAACCCACGACCTTCCGGTCGGCGGCGAGTGTCTAGCTGCTGGTACTGGCTTATCCTGAAAAAAGACCCACAGTCAGACAGTTACTGTACCGTCAGAATTGGAACTCTTTTCTTTGCCTGAAGATGGTAGATGGAGCACTTATGGGAGTGACTCAAGTGCTATGATGTCAGTTCCTAATTCAACATTCTGAATAAAACTTGCAACTAACTAACTGATAGCCAGCAGGTTAATTTTTAAATTGTTTTAAAAGTAATAGACATTACAGGAAAAAGTATACATAATTGTTTTCCGGGTATGATTATCTTTTTTTTTTGTTTTTTTTAATTATCGGCCTCTCGTCCCCATGTGGGATGCAGTGTTTCATCATTTCAAAGCTCCACCCTGGCCGGGTGCCCTAAATATAGCCTGGCCTTAAGTATGGTTTAACAGCTGAACAGGGTTTCTGTGACCTCTCCACAGGTGATCCTCATCCGCATTGTGGCACTTAGTGTCACCGGGGGGTTTGTGGCTCTGTGTGATGTCCTGGTGGGTGAAAATTTACTTACGTACTTACTTATTTTGTTTTCTTTACTGATAAATAAGATTAACAAAATATTTGCTAGTTTATAGACAACTGATCCTTTTACAGGTTTCGATAGATCTGTTTGGGGTCATTTAGTTTAGCGGTTTTCAAAACAGTTTCTGGACCTCTTCAGTATCAGAAGATTTCATTAAGAGATGCAGATGTCATTCATGTCCCCAATAATAAAGCATGGGTTTTACCTTCCAAAGAGGCAGCATTTACAGTGCTACATTCTACAATATCTGGCCAGGTTTCTGTAGTATGCTGAGCTAAAATTTAAACTATACAATAACACACTGTACATATGTGGAGCCATTAAGGTAATAGCTGAACACTTATGGTTCATTGTTTATGACAGAAAAAAGTTAAGCATTAGTGCAACAGTATATGTCCTGGGGATGCCTCAGTATTGCAATAGTTAGCCTGTTTGCCTGCCAGCCTGATGGTAATGAATTTGAATTCTCATATATTACAGTGGAAACAGTAGAAAACTGTGGCCAACTCCTAGAAATGGATATTGGGCCCAGGGAGTGTTAAAGAAATAGAAACGGCAATAAGCAGTATGAAGAATGGGAGGGCACCTGGTGAAGACAGAATTAGTGCTTGAAATGTTAAAGGCAGACCCACAGTTTGCAGCAGCAGCATTACAGGGACTGTTCAACAAAATATGGATAAATGAAGTGGTCCCAACAGACTGAAAAAAAACATTGTAAGCATCCCACTACCGGAGAAAGGTGATCTCTCGCACTGCAACAACTGCAGAGGCATAACATTATTGTTTGTACATGGAAAGGCACTCTGTAGGATGATATACAACAGAATGAAGACGTCAATAGGCAGGATTCAGAAAAGGAAGAAACTGCTGTGATCATGTTTTCACTCTCAGAAATATTGTGTAACAAGCTTTAGAATGGAATGTCACATTATATTTAAACTTTACAGACTTTAAAAAAGCCTTTGACAGTCTAGATAGAACAATAATGTGGAGGATCCTTGCTGTATGTGGGTTACCAGATAAAGTTATAAACATATTTAATGGACTCTATAAAGGAATGCAATGGACACCATAAGGACAGCGAGGAAGAGGCAGGCCCAGAAGCACCTGGAGGCGAACTTTTGAGGCTGAACTCAAGGCTACGCGAAGGATAAAACTGGAGATAGAGAGGATGGCTCAGGATCGAATTGAGTGTTGACAGTTTGTCTCTGCCTTATGTGCCTCTGGGGGTGAAGAGGATTGATCGATTGATTTTTCCTGGGGATGCCTCAGTATTGCAATAGCTAGCCTGTTTGCCTGCCCACCTGGTGGTCATAAATTTGAATTCTCATCAAGGCAGGGATTTTATGAAAAACTGATTCCCTCTCCTAGGTTCACCCAGCTTAACATGAATACCATGAAATGTCAAGGAAAATAAAGGCAGCCAACATGATATTGACGACATCATCCATCTTGTGTCACTTGATCGATAAAAATTAGAAGTGAGCACTATGCACCCAGTACCTCTCAAGGTGTGTAAATGAGACCTTTACTTACCTGGTTTGTATTGACAAACCTCTAATGAGCTTCAGTATGTGCTGTGTGCCTCTGGGTATCATAGTTTAACTGATGATAGGTAGCCAAGCCAGAGCTCGCTTGGCATGCTGGGAAATCTTGAGCTGTTGGTGGTGCCTTCAACTCCCCATGTAGATTTGAGGGTCCCATTTTTTTTTTTTTTTGTATGGGGGGGACAACAAATCTATTGTTTCCAAGCAAGCACATTGTACAAGCTGACTCATTAGGCATAAGGGGTTTGCAGGAATCGGATGATTTAGGCCAGAAGGCACAGATATCACATCCTTGAGTAAACCATAACATAACATGCCACACAGATATCACATCCTTGAGTCAACCACAACATAACAAGCCACACATATATCACAGCCTTGAGTAAACCACAACATAACATGCTACACAGATATCACAGCTTTGAGTAAACCACAACATAACATGCCACACAGATATCACAGCCTTGAGTAAACCACAACATAGCATGCCACACAGATATCACAGCCTTGAGTAAACCACAACATAGCATGCCACACAGATATCACAGCCTTGAGTAAACCACAACATAGCATGCCACACAGATATCACAGCCTTGAGTAAGCCACAACATAACATGTAACACAGATATCACATCTTTGAGTAAACCACAACATAACACGTAACACAAATATCACAACCTTGAGTAAGCCACAACATAACATGTATCACAAATATCACAGCTTTGAGTAAACCACAACATAACATGTAACGCAGATATCACAGCCTTCAGTAAGCCACAACATAACATGTAACACAGATATCACAGCTTTGAGTAAACCACAACATAACATGTAACACAGATATCACAGCCTTGAGTAAACCACAACATAACATGCCACACAGATATCACAGCCTTGAGTAAACACAACATAACATGCCACACAGATATCACAGCCTTGAGTAAACCACAACATAACATGCCACACAGATATCACAGCCTTGAGTAAACTACAACATAACATGCCACACAGATATCACAGCCTTGAGTAAACCACAACATAACATGCCACACAGATATCACAGCCTTGAGTAAACCACAACATAACATGCCACACAGATATTACAGCCTTGAGTAAACCACAACATAACAAGCCACACATATATCACAGCCTTGAGTAAACCACAACATAACATGCCACACAGATATCACAGCCTTGAGTGAACCACAACATAACATGCCACACAGATATCACAGCCTTGAGTAAACCACAACATAGCATGCCACACAGATATCACAGCCTTGAGTAAACCACAACATAACATGCCACACAGATATCACAGCCTTGAGTAAACTACAACATGACATTTAACACAGATATCACAGCCTTGAGTAAACCACAACATAACATGCCACACAGATATCACAGCCTTGAGTAAAACACAACATAACATGCCAATTGCCCTTTTAAAAAGCAACAGTCTTCTTCTAGGTATCACTCTGCCTCTTGGTGTTTCCATCTTCATGTTGTACGCTTAATTCATACTCATTAAGTGGCAAAAATATCCAAGTCTTTGTTTCTCAATATAACACTCATTATTGTTCCAGTAGTTTTTCTAATCTCTTCATTTCTCTCTTGATCTCTTCGGGTTTTGTTGACATCATTTCTCAAAGATCTTTCACAGATGGTAAAGCTGCAACCATTGGGCTGTAAAGATTTCATCATCATGTTCCCATAGCACCAGTTGCTGTTGACTGTCTGAACAGTTCTTTCCACCTCTGTCAGTCAGATGCAATGGACTTGACATCTGCATTTTTTAGTCCTGTCCAGTCAGCTAGTTTTTGTATATAAGTCTTTCTTGATCTACCTCTTCTCCTCTTCCCCTGTCCTGAACTCTGTAGTATTGTATAAAGTTAAAGGTTAAAGTCGAGAGTGTTAAGCCTCAATAAATTCAGAACCCTAACTAATGATCACCAAAGAAGAAGAATATGAGGAGGAGGAGATTCAAGATAGAGAACCAACAATACATAATGCATTTATTTGAGAGGGAAGAGCTAACAATGATCTCTGTAACTTTTTGAACATTATTAGGCACAGTCAGAGCTACAGAAAACCCACCAGCAGGCAGTGTTACATGATGAGCAATTGCTGACAGACGTGGACCAGTTTGAGAGGAGTAAACTTGCTGACATGAAGGTAGATTGTTTTGTTGAACATGAATGTTGTTTGTATTGTTGAACCTAAAGGTAAGATTGTTTTTTTGAATGTGTTGTTTAACATTTTCTATATTTTTGTTGTAGAATGGCAAAACCCCGAAAAGCAAAGGAAAATCACAACAGTTAATTTTTAGGAATAGGATATTAAAAGCAACTTTTATTGTGAAAGAGGTAATAGAAATATGCCTAGTATGCCTGGAGGGATTGTCACTGGAGCTATGGAGTTTGTGCACTGTGCGACGCTCTCAGTAGCCAGCTAGCTGTTTTACAGAGAGAGACTGAGCCTTATGAGATAAAACCTGGTGTAATGAAGTTGATCCTCTTGATTTTAACCTGAAATTTGGAAAGGAGCCCTTTAAACAGTAAATTCAGATCAATTTCCAGAGCAACTAAGCCAGAATTTGGTATCAGAGAATATCCTGGGAAGAAAAAGTAGCTAATATGATGTTGATTGCAGCACTAGTCAAGTGCTGACTGGCCTATTAAAATATGTATCTATCTACATACTCTTGGTGAGTCAGAGATATGAGATTAGTCACCTACTTTTGACATTTTGTCACCAATATTATAACAGATTCTTTACCGTATTTTTCAGTCTGTTTTGAGAGAGTTTGTCCATATTTTTCAGTCTGTTTTGAGAGAGTTTGTCCATATTTTTCAGTCTGTTTTGAGAGAGTTTGTCCACATTGAAATGATCTTCCATGCAAGGGCACTGGAGTATTTGTCCAGATGCTATGAAGCCACCCTGCAAATGGAAACAGTTACAGACATGGATGTAGGTTATCTTAATTTTGTTACAGTTGTTTAAAATGATGTCTTGGACTGAATCTTTCAGGGCATTCCTATAGAGTTGCAGCTCTCATCTTCAGCAGCCAGCAAACAATTGAAGCTTAACTGGGAAGGCTAACCTGGTTTTTAAAAAATGTGTACAGGAAGTAAGGATAAGTACAAGAAAAAGAGCATCCTGTCTCGGAAGCTGAAATATTTTGGTCATATCAAGCGCCATGACAGATCGGAAAGGATTATAGCAGAAGGCATGGTGCTAGGAAGGAGGGGCAGAGGCCGACCAAGATGAAGATGGACACAGGATATAAGTGACTCCTTGAGTATGAAATTACATGAGACGGGAGAACTGGCGAGAAACCGAGTTTCTTTCAGCTAGACTGTGATGAGAGCGACGTTCTACAAAGGACCTGCTACCTGATGATGACAGAAGTCTGATGTGTCGGCCAAAAGGTGCAAGTATTGCAGCCATGCTGGGCACAGCGCAGTGACATCTTTGGATTAACACAGAAGAAGAAGAGTTAAAGCTTAAACAATGATGATGGTACCAGTTGTAGTCTGATTATAAGTGGTTCTTATCTTTCCCCTGAATATTAAATGTGTTTCAAATTCTTAACCCTACCAGACCTGAGGTCCTGAACCTAACCGCCCCCTATACCTGAGCTCCAAGGCATTAACTCTTTGAGTCCCAGGGGGTTTAGCCTCACAGGCTAACGAAAATAATAAAATCCGCGCATCATGCGTTCATTGGGCTTCTAGGTAGGAACCTATGAACGCATGATGCGTTTCTTAGGACTCAAAGAGTTAACGTAAAAAACCCAACATGATATACAACAATATTAGTTACATGCAAACAAGTGGCTGGAATAAGATGAAACTTGAAGACTTTGTAGAAAATAGGCTTATCTTTTATCAAGCGCCAGTTTTCCACATTTGTGTGCCAATCCACTCAGGAGGCTCAGCCTTGTTTCACAAAGTGAACACCAGATGTTGCTGTTTGAGGGACACGCCCCCTTCTCCTACTATCGATCTATTTCTAGATTTATAATTTTCAAGATTTTCCGCAGTCTGAATAAACCAAAGTATCGATCACCTGTTGGACTGTGAAAAGCCTAGACCTACTTTACTTTCCTGTCGAAGTGCTCGGTTCATTAGCCGCTCGTTTTATTGTGAATTTTCATAATTTTTTCATGTAAAACAACAAAAACTTTATCAAAACACATGCCGGCGTACAACTAGGAAGACTATTCACCAGGTCTGATAACGATTAGCTAGTTATTTTTAGTCTGAGACACAGCTTTTTCACGTGCTACACAAATTGCCGAAAATTAGGGACAGCCATATAGCGCCAGGTGAAAAAATTCCCGAAAAAATTGGGTCAGCGGTCTAGTAGGGTTAATTTGAATAACCTGGTATGAAAATGTTCTTCTAGTTCTCCTTTCGTTTGCTTGAAATATGTTGTCTACATCTGCAGTTTTATCTGTCATTTAATTTCATTTTAATTTTAAGTTCATTCACTGTTCAGTTTACTTTCTACAGAGGTTCTGGAAACACTACAAATGAAGAGAATTTCTGAAAGAAAGAAAAAAGAGACAACTGAAATACTTTGGCCACATTAAAAGACATAACACACTTTTAAAAACCATACTGGAGGGAAAGGTCAAAGGGGAGGGAAAGGTCAAAGGCAAGAGGTGGGCAGCAAGTGGTAGGACGATATCAAGAGATGGATAAATAGCAGTCTGAGAGAGTGTACAGCCAGAACAAGAGACAGAGCAGGTTGGAGATCTATTGCAACCAACCTTCATTGTGAAGATAGCACCTGACTGATTGATTACTTTCCACTGTTGTTATTTTTGGCCCAAAAAAGAAGCTTATTTTTGGAGTAGGTTTTTTCTTGCAGAGAGATGTATGAGTATACCAGTAGCATGGCCATAGGGACACAATGAATGTCCTAATCAAAACAATATTTATGAGGATTGTATTTTGCATATTTACTCACCAGTTTCTTCAAGCAACACTTTGTGAAATTTGTAATGTTTCTAAAACTTTCTCAGTCGGCACCTTTCCGGTCAGCACCCCCACAGCAGCTTGCTCAAAGACCTGTACCAGCTAATTACAATTATCCTCTTACATCAATGGTAAGTTTGCTGTAGCATATAACAATCACACAGTTTCTTGTTCTGTACAGAACTCTACCTCCAAAACATCATCATCATTAACTTCACTTTCATTGTAAAGTAGTAAAACAAGTAAAGTAAAGATCCCTTATTACGCCTACGTGCATTGGGTATATGGGCAGAGCATCCCATATTTTTACAAACCAATCGGCACTGGATGGGTAATGTGGTCAGCATTACGCCGGCCGTTTGTTAAGTAGTAGTAGTAGTAATTTTTCAAACATATCCTGTTTAACCCTCAGGGTTATGATTGGGATATATAGGGATTATTGAGTTCTCAGAGTATATATTTGTTATTTTATGTATTGTGTGACTATTTACTTAAGACAAATATATAATCTGTGCAGTTTCAAAAATTGCTTTGATTTGGGTTGTAGCTGTGATATTAATCGTACAGTGAATATTAAGTTAATCTTATTTTGTTTCATTAGGGGCTGCGTGGTCTTGAGGCATGATGTCCTCCTCAAGTGCTAGAGGTTCCAGGTTCAATCCCCAGTTAGGGCTGGGGTTTTTTCACGTGTACTTGGACTTATAGTAATTTCTCCCCGGGTATCTGGGTAGTGAGATCAGACACCCGTGTGCATTGTGGCACATGTAAAAAATCCATTGGCAGTTGGAAATCAAAAGGAGTAGCCTAACCGCGCTGCACAGGCAAAAGTTTAAGTTAAAAATCTACCCAAAGTATTTCAGGATCCTCGCCGGTGCTACAGAGACTGTGCACTGTGCTGAGCTTCTTCAGACTCAGACTTGAGTTAGAAGAAGAACGGAACACTTATGGGTTTCACCGGTGTGCCATGATGCTGATCCATTGTTAAAAACCTCAAACTTTGTGTCATAAACATTATGGGTTTATTGTACCATTAGTGTAATAATTGATAATCCTCACAGATTTTAACTTTGGGAGAAACTTCTTCAAGGACAGCATGGGCATTCCTTACCCTTGTATATATGGATTTCAGTTGTGGTAAAAAACTGCTGAACTTCCTGGCACAGGTCTCTGGGGCTGTCTGTGTGCAGCAAGTTTTTCATCATCATATTCACAGCATTGCGAGTCCGACTCGTAATTCCAACATACCGTGATCAAAATCCACTGATGGCTGCATGGATTGTTATCATGGTATGGGGCGTCACAGGTCGACCCAGCCTAAAATGGGTACCAGGATGGCTGTCCTGGGGAAGTAAAGACGGCCAGCGTAATGCTGACCACATTACCCACCCAGTGCCGATTAATCTGTAAAAATATGGGTGCTCTTCCCATGTGCCCGATGTGCCTAAAGGCATAAAAAGGGATCTTTACTTTTACTATAGGTCATTTACAGAGATTCATATAGTATGTTAATGGTTGTTAAGTGTCATACGTGTAGAAACATTTTTTGGTCATACACTTAGCGAGTAATACTGGTTGTTGACATTCTGCGTAAATGTATCTTCTTCTTCTTCTTTTTACCAGCTGTAAACTCCGGTGGAAAACTTCTGGTTGTTCATCCACTTCAGGACTTTGGTTTTTCCAACAACTTGAATTTTGGGTGCACATATGTTTCACAGATCTGTTTTATTTTTATGCAGGCTGTTGGCTAACCTCTCAGGCAGATGCCCTCTGACTTTAAAGGATACACCCCTAAGTAGTCGACTTTTATGACAGGTTAGTTCGGGGGGTAGTGGGTCTGTTCCTTTTTCTACTAAATGGAACCCCCTTTCGGAGTGTGAATGTAAAATGTCATCAGTCCATTTATTTTTGGTCACCCTCTTGCTCTCATATCAAATCTTTTAGGTGTGGTGATTATGTTGGTAGTTTTTGTGACTGCATTTTAACGCAGTGGCTTAACCATTTCAATTTTTTTTCAGTGGTTAAAAAAAAAAAATATTTACTGTATAAGTTCAACTGTATTTAAACTGTATTTTTTTAAAACTATTTTACATTTTTCTTCTTTTTTTTTTTCTTTCTTAGTACATGTATGATGATGCAGATGACTCAGAAGAAGAAGACTTTGATGATGAAGATGAAGACTCGTAAAAGAAAGCGGTGGACACATACGTTTTTTGGATACATAAGAAGAAATGGAAATGGCTTACTGGAATCAAGAGGGTCCTAATGTTTACCTCTTGATACATCGCGTAAGTGATCAAACAGAAGATGATAACATAAATATCATTCAATCAATCAAGTGCCGTCTCCACAATATAGGTTGGCTGCAATGGATCTCCAACAAGCCCTGTCTCTTGCCCTTGATGTACACTCACTCATACTGCTGTTCGTCCATCTCTTGATGTTATCCTCCCACTTGTAATGCTGTCTGCCTTTTGCACACCTACCTTGAACCTTTCCCTCTAGGATGATCTTTACAATACTGTTATGTCTTTTAATGTGGCGAAAATATTTCACTTGTCTCTTTTTTATTTCACCTAGGAACTCTTTTCATTCCCAATTTCCTCAGTACCTCTGTATTTGATAGCTTTTGTTTCCGTGAAATACGACTTAATCTTCTGTATATCCACATCTCCAAAGAATTGATACGATTTTCCAGTTGTTTGTTCATTGTCCATGTCTCTGTGCCATACAGTAAGGTTGAGAATACATAACATTTGACAATTCTCATTTTTAATGTATTGCTTATTTCTCTTGATGTCAGTAACTTTTGCATGTTGTTGAAAATATTTTTGGCCATCCCTATTCTTTTTTTGACTTCTGTTTCACTTCTGCCGTCACATGTTATTATTTGTCCAAGATATAAGACATTTTCAAATTGTTCCAGTTTCATCCCATTCACTGTGCAATTCATTCTTAGCTGATTATTTTCTTTGCTAAATATCATGGTTTTTGTCTTTTTCAAATTTATATCTAATCCAAACATAAATAGCCTTAGGATCTTATGACAATAAACAAATCATATCTGTATAGGTAACGCATTTCTGATAGTTTTCGTGATTAATCAGTCAGTCAGTCAGTGACACTATACCATACAAAGCATACATGGAAAGAGAAGAAGGAAGTAGAGCACGAGATAGACCAAGAACAAGATGGAAGGATAACATCAAAGAAACTCTACAACAGCACGATGTGCCTATGGTCGAGGCGGCCAGAAGAGCTAGAAACAGAACCTTATATCTCCCTCGACACCCACAGCGGTAAAAGAAGAAGTGAAGAAGAAGAAGAAGAATAAGAAGTCAGTAAACATGTCCTTTACAGAACATCGCTGAAAGTCTCTCTTTCTCTAGCCAATTCTCCAGCCCTATGTGCTTTCACAGCCAGTGCATCTTCATTGTCCTGTAACTGCATTTGTGGAGATTGGCCTGTGCCTCATTCACTGCAAATCCCCCAGCACCGTTCACAAACTAAAAAATAACCAACCAATCGTGATCACACCTAGCTGCCCACGTGTGTTTGGATTTACTTTCTGTGGTTTAAGAGAAAAAATTCTGAAAATTTACAATGAACCAAGCACTTCAACAGGAAAGTGAAGTAGGTGTAGGCTTTTCACAGTCCAACAGGAGATTGATACTTTGGTTGATTCAGACTCTGAGGAGTCTTAATTTCATGAAGAATACGTTCCTAGTTGAAGTGACATGGTTAGTGAGAGCTAGAGTGATAAGGAGAATCTTGAAAATTATAGATTTAAAACTAGATCGATAGTAAGAGAAGCGGGCGTGTCCCTCCATCCACAACATCTAGTGCTCACTTTGTGAAACAAGGCCGATCCTGCTGGGTAGATTCGCACACAAAGGTGGAATATTGGCGCTTTATGAAAGGTAAACCTGTTTTCTACAATGTCTCCAAGTTTCATCTTATTCTAACCACTTGTTTGCATGAAACAAATATTTTTGTATACCATGTAGGTTTTTCGTGTTAATACCCAGGAGCTCAGGTATAGGGGGCACTTAGGTTCAAGGCCTTAGGTCTGGTAAGGTTAACATATAATTAAGAAGAAAACTAAATGCAAAACTCACATAGCCTATTGTTACCAACCACTGAGATGTGATATTTCCTGCCTTTTTGATAACCGGTATTGCTTGTCTGTGATGGCTCCATCCGGACATAAACTGTGGCATAAATAACTATAATAATAAATTTCTTCTGCTGTCTTCTATGTTTATCCTTAACTCTTTCAACCCCAGGTGTTTTTTTAGCTCCACTCTTTCCCAACTGTTGTTGCTTATAGCAAAGTCTGCTTGAGTCTGAGGGAGTTTGACATATTCACACTATAGGACAAAATTAACTCAAATAGTTGGGATTTTTAAATCTTTTTTTCAAGTATCAAGAAACCATGATTTCTTAATCCTTTGGTTTGGTACTATGGATATCGCAACCCTTTGGCCTTGATTCTATGATAGATACCGTCAATCTGAGAGAAATGTGGCTTTTCTGCCTTCCCCCGGATGTGAACCAGGACCACAAGGATTTCGGCACCCAGTCGCCGCACAGTCCAGTTTAGCCAATTGCACTAGTGAGCCGGGTAATAATAGTTGGGATAGAATGGATAAAACATTTGGCTGGATAAAGCACAAGGAGCTCAGAAAGGCATATTATGCTAGACAGTCTCAATAAACTCATGGTGAGTTTAATACTGAAAGAGTTAAATTGGTGGCTGGCACATTGTATTCTGTTTTACAGCTAAGTTGTGAGATCTATGCCTTTTGGCTTAATAAATCTAATGGGTAACTGTGATAATTGAAATCTATTCTGTTATAGTTGACTCACACATAAACTATAGCATGGATAATTGAAATCAATTCTGTTATAGTTGACTCATACATAAACTATGAAATAGGTAAAAAAAAAGTAAAGTAAAGGACCCTTTTCCACGCCTTTAGGCGTATAGGGCATATAGGGCTAGACCTATATTTTATAGACCAATCGGCACAAAATGGGGGATGTGGTCAGCATCACGCCGGC